CTGCTTTTTCCTCAAAAACTTATTTTTTACAGACTTAAAAACTTCTAAAGACGAGGGAAAAAATATTGATACATTAAAATATCCCAATATCTTCATATGCTGATATATTGCCATTTAAAAACACCATATCAATCTCTTTTACTAATGAAATATTGCTATATGTCATCGTTATGCTACGAAATCCCCCGAAAATTCACCAAATGTTGCCTTTTTTTTATATGTTGATATATTGACGCGGTATCGATCTATTTTACTAACAAAATCTCACAAGAATTTGCAAAATATCACGAGAGTTTGTAACAGAACGATGAAATTTCACCAGATTTTGAAAGTAAAATAGATCGATACCGCGTTTTTAAAAATCAATTTGATATCAGCATATGAAAATATATTTGAGTTTATTATTTTTCAAAGTGTCAGAAATGGATAACAAAACTGCTATTTTCAATGACTACTTATTTTTGTCCAGCTTTAACATCGGTATCGATATCGGTTATCGGCTACATGTCAACGGGGAAAGTGTGTCAACGATCGTGCTAACTTGTGCATTTAGGCACAGCAGCGGTTCAGAAGGTAAATTAAAATGCTGCACATCCCTCTTAATTTAAAGACTGAGTTTTAAAATATCGGCATATCGGATATCGGCCAAAATCCCAATATCGTGCATCCCTATCAAAAAGCCTCCATATGTCTAATGGGCCTTTTTGATTCTTAATCATTTTTTCTTACAGTTTTTGTTTTAAGTTGCATTTATGGATGCCATAAAAAAAACAAAAAAACAATAAGCCTTGAATTATAACCAGAGGTCATTTTTACATTTAAAAATGTAATTTTAGTTGTTTGTGTAATTTTCTGAAATGTGTTTTGTTTCATTGGAACCATAATATGTGGATCAGTTTCCTAATCCTAACCGAGCTCTCTAAGATGAGTCACTAATAGGTTAATGTAATGTTTGTTCTTTTAATCTGCTGTGTTATTCTTTACAACGGCCACTAGTTCATGGAAAGACTTCAGAAGTATTTGACTGATTCCAAAGGAGGCAGGATGTAATTCTAGAATGGATTTCTATAACCAGATGTTGATGCTGTAGGCAGGAAGAATCTTCTGTAGAGGTCTGTCTACAGCAGCTCTGGAGAGGCCTCTGACTAAAGACACTGATGGTGTTTAACAGTCTAATGAAGAGGATGCTGACTGTTTGCCTTCATCTTCTTGGCCGGCAGCTCTGGGCCCCTCCACCATCACATCCATGGAGTTTTGATAGGGAGGCCAAAATCAAAAATACAGTTTTTGTTTTGAGAGCAAGTTGCACAGAATTTACCGTCAGCCTTGAAGTCCGAATTGTTTGGGCTAAAGCGTGCACATCCAAGATATTATCCCATCTCACCTTTGAGTTCAACCACCGCAGCCAGCCGGCGTTTAATCGTACCCAGCATACAGGAACAGGTGACTGCTGTCATCGATGAATGAAGCTGCCTGGCAGTAAACCTGCCACCATGGATGGATTCCTCACATTTAACTGGAAAAAACGAAAAGAATCCAAGATAAGTTAAAAAATAAAACCTGACCAGGATGTTATGTTTTCCACTGCATCTTTCATCAGGAATCTGAGTGTAAATCTGTGTTGCAGCTTATTCATGTTGTGGATCCAGTAGTAAAAGTTGTTAACTTCCTAGGAGCAAAGGGACTAAATCACTGTCAGTTCATTACGTTCTGAGAGGAAACCGATGCAGATCACCAGGACTTACTTCACCACTCTCCTGTTCACTGGTTAAGTTTGGGGAAAGTGTGTCAGCGATCGTGCTAACTTGTGCATTTAGGCACAGCAGCGGTTCAGTAGCTAAATGAAAATGCTGCACATCCCTCTTAATTTAAAGACCGCTTTCTTTCATGGGGTAATAATCTGTTCTGGATGTTGAAAGTGACTCCATTGATCTTTTTCCACTAAATGTTGATTTCTTTAAATTTGCACCTTCAGTTGTGTCTGTTTTCATTCATTTCAGTCCCAGACGTCCAGATTCAGTGGTTTAGCTGAACTGTAACTCTGAGCTTGGCGGTGAGTCTGCAGCTGTAGCTGCATGATGCTACATCTAGTGATGAATGTATCTCACTTTCACTCTCCAACTCTATTATTTAATGTTTTAAAGTGTCGTTCAACCGTTTTACAATGACTGGAAACAAAAGCTCTTCTAAGATCACTGCAGATGGCGTCAATCCTTTAGATCCTATTAATGCTCAAGCTAATCCTACTGACAGACTAAATATCAGCGTATAAAGCTTTCTGACGGCGGCTGATGATCACTTTTTCATTGCATTTGACTCGTAACACCTGGCTGCGTTGGAAACAGCCCTGTGGGCATTTTATCAGTTTGTAGAGCTTTGCCTTTGTGTTCTGCAGGACCGCCATAGTGAGCGCTCGCCTGGTCATTTCCATCTTAAATAGTGATTTTCCCTCAGAGTTAATAGCAGCCTGTCTCATCGGGACAATCTAATTTGAGTCATTCATTGAGTTGGTTGTTCAAAGGAGCAGAAACTGTGAAGAGGGGAAAGAAGCAGATGACTAATACAGAGGAAACGATTGGCTGTTTACAGCTGAAGCTCATTATAAAGTCAGACAGCAGGCAGCAAACTGTAGGATAAAGAAAACAAGATCTAGAACCAACATTCAGAAACAGAAAGTAGTTTTAAGGCCAAATAGAGTTTTAGACGTAGGAAGAGAATTTGGTGATGAGCTGATGATTAGTGAGGAGCTGCTACACAGATAAATGTCTAAATATTAAGAAATATTAATGTATAATAAACTGGTGAAAATGATCTAGGAATAATGGAGTAAAATAACCTGCAGCACTGGGCCAGCTGCTTTGTCAGGTTCCTGCCTCTTATAGGGGGGAAGCAAACAGTGATGGTGGACAGGTGCCTAATGGACTCTCAACGTGGCAGTTAAGAGTGTGAGTGTGTGTTGGGGGGGTGGTCTAGGAACCACCTTCTGTCAGATGGAGCATCTTTTGCAGGGAACCAGCCATTTATCTTCTCCCACCTGGTTGCTCTCTAACCATTGGAACCAGTCAGAGTTTGTCCCTCAGGCGTTCCTGCAGTATATAGTCTATCAGCACGCTCTGTCCATGATGAAATACAACCAGCAACCATGGTGACGGAAAACACTCACTGTAGATTATAGAATATTACAGACTAGGAAAACAGAGCTGCTGAATCAGAGAGACATCAGTAGATCCTCTAGATCAGCGGTCCCCAGCCTTTCTTGTACCACGGACCGCTACGCTAAATACGATCAAGCAAAATGATACGACTAGCATAAAATCAAATACAAACAGCATAAAAATAAAACAACAAGCCGGTCCCATCTAGGCGTAATCGGAGAAAATGACAGACGAAGTGTGCTCCTGATGTCCAGTCTGCTCCGTAGCCAGTGTTGGGAAAGTTCTCTTTCTACGTGAACTAGTTCAAAGTTCAGTTCTCACATTTTAAAATGAACTAGTTCAGTTCATAGTTCATAATTCTAAATTTTGAACTAAGTTCACAGTTCCAAAAAATGAACTAGTTCATAGTTCTTTTTTTTTTTTTTTCATATATTGCTCAATTACACCATAGCCTACTGTAGAACCACAGACAGCAATTATTTTATCAGTTGTAACTCTGAAACTGTGCGTCAGATTTCATCTTCATATCCAGTTTTGAATCCTTATCCAACCAGGGTTTACATTAGCATTGAGGGGACAGCATCAGTGTTTTTGCCTGAAGGCGTTCATGGAACTAAAGTTCATGAACTCGTTCATATTTTGGGTGAACGTGAACTGAACGTACTGCATTACTGCCTGATGAACGTTATTGTGAACTCGTTCATTCTGGTGTCTGTGAACGGCACGCTCTCTCAGTTCAACTCCGTTCAATAGGTTGCCAGATTTCTATAGAGCCCTCCAGGCGAAACCCCAGCTAAATCACACCGTAAACAAGCCTTAATATGTAGTGGGAAAAACACCTAATCTGGCAACAGCAGCTACCAGCGTCGTAGCCTACAGCCGCGTGCGTCATCAAAACAAAATGCAGCGTGGAAGCCACAGCATTGCTGCTTTAACGCTTTGCTGCTGTCCATTCACTTCACACTAGTAGCAGCTGCAGCTTTCACCCCTACAGTATATTCTCAAAAACATCAGGAAAAATGTGCTGCTTGAATGGTCTTTTTTATGAGGAATTATTAAAAGAAAAACAGGAAAGTAGTCTTTAAGGTGCAAATGTTTTTTTAATTTTAATAATTTTTTCCATTTGAAATTCCATTTCAGTACATACTAAAAAGGAATCCTGGAAAATTATACCAGGCAGGTAGCAGCTTCGGTAGGGAGGCCCAGACGTCCATCTCTTCAGCTACTTTGTCCAGCTCCTGGGGGGAACCCCAAGGTGCTCCCAGGTCAGCTGAGGAACATAATCCCTCCAGCGTGTCCTGGGTCTCCCTCTGGTTCTCCTCACAAATTTGAATAAACGTGTCAAACAAAAAAAAAAAATAATAATAATGTATGTTTCCTGAAATCCTTCTTTCCATTAAAGGTGTTGGCAAAGCGATGGGAGAGGCAGCGCCTCTTCAGGTCATTTATTTAGTCAAAATAGGAGGAAGCATCGCTTCAGGGATGGTTGCAGCAAAGATGATGATTGACAGCTGCTGATTGTTCTGAACATCTGGATGGTTTGGAGAAGAAAAGCCTCGATCTGTCACCATGCCAACATGTCATGTTCTACCATAGAAAACCATTCCATAGAATGATTGAATGAAAAACGTGTCAAAGCCTGTAGCATCTTCCAGTAGTTCCAGCCACGGCTGCACATTTTTCTGGGTTTTGTTTTGCTTCTTCCTTCTGTGCAGAAATAAAGTGATGATTGTTTCACCAACAAAGGATCAGATACAACAACAAAACCTCTGTCAGTGTTTTGTTTGGCTGCCAAATGATCTGCTGGCAGTACAGTGCAGCAGTGAGAGGTTGAGATCCATTACTGAGGCAGTTTAAACCTTCTAAAAATATTGCTCGTCTTTGATGGCGTTCAATCTGCAAACAGATTTCCCACAAGGTGAGCAGGAGAGAGGAGCAAATGAGAAAGATGACACCGCTGCTGCCTCTGCATGGTGCTCATGTTTTCTAGATATGCAAACAGAGGTTCCTTTGTACCCCGATGCTCTCACAGGTTACACAGGTTGTCAGTCATAATAGCCCCATATTTCCCACATGCCTTCATGAAACACGCCTCAGTCACACAGGAAGTTCCAGGTGAGCGTTTGAACACGTGCACGCCTCAGTCTGGGCGCACGGTTCAAGCTGGAGCATATTAAGATATTTGTCATGTTCTGCATTGAGGCTGTGTTGAGCAGCATTATAATGTGGTTGGGGACTTCCTTTGATGAATAATAGAAGGCATTTATAGAGCCTTCCAGGGAGCCACCATACCTAGCAAGGAAAAAAAGAAATGAAGGAAATGTTTGAGAGCAAAGTTTCATGAATAATTGAAAAGCTTTTTTAAAGGATTTGCATAATCTCACCTTCCTGAAGGTCACAGCTGCTGTTGTTGTTTGTGCCCCTAAAATCCGAGCCGTGAATTATAGCTGATGGTTTGGCTCAGATCAGTCAACACTTAGCGTAGCGATTAGCTCCCATTTATCAAAGGAACATGTTGTAGTAAAACACTGACAGCCTTCATGTCAAACATCTTCAGCTCCAGGAACTGAAAGTCCCAATTATGAGGCAGAGAAAAAGCCGACATGATGAATCTTATTGACTCACAAACTTAAAGCTCTGCAGGAATGTTGATCAAATAAAAATAATCTAACCTTAAGAAGCGCTAAGCCACTTCCTGCAAACTGCAGGGCTGATATTCAGGCAACGCAGCTCCTCCCTGCTGCTGGGAAATAATCAACCATAACATCATATTTATCCAGAATATCTCCGTAATCTGATGAACCTCCCTGTAGGAGGAGGAAACACCAACAGATCTCTGCATGCAACTAAGTCTAATGTTTAGTTTGTTTTTAACATTTTCTTCCATAGAGCTGCAGCTAACCCTTCGTTTGTTAGCAAACATGTTAGCCATTGTGGAAAAGAAGGATCAATGGGTGAGGCTTTGCTTTCCGCGGTCTCTGGTTTCAGATCGGTCCAACGCTTTGACCAAGTCTTTGTTTTTCATTAAAACATTTAGCATTTATATTTTCCAACATCTGAAATATTGGATTTTTTTGGATTTATTTATTTATTCTTTTTTAGTTTTTACAGTTTGTTTGACAGTAGCTGACAGGAAAGGGGCAATGAGAGAGAAGGAAAGACATGCAGCAAAGGACCACAGGTCGGATTGGAATCCGGGTCGCCCTCATCGAGGACTAAGGCCTCCATACGTGGGTCATGTGCGCTAACCACTGCACCACCTGTACACCCATAGGATTATTTTTACGTAGTGGCAGACAGAGTGTCACCAGTACTCTACAGTCACTGGTAATATGTGAATGGTTAATCAGTGTGGAAATCCTCACTTCCTGCCATCAGAGGAAGTCCATCAGTCTTTGAGAAGTTCTATGAGCTAATCTGCAGTCAGCATTCCCTTCTGGTGTCCTCCTGCCACTAGAGGGTGCTGCTTCTTTTGGTGAGACTTCCTGTTTGGACTCCTGAGCAGCATGCTATCCAGTCTTTCTCCTTCTGAATTAAGTTCTATGCTATTGCTACTGGCTTTGTTCAAAATGTGAATAGTTCCACACATTCTCATCTTCATACTTTGGATCTTGTGCTGACATACGGCATAGAATGTGAAGAAATAACAGTATTTCCTCACAACCCTGTCCTCTCTGACCACTTTTTAATAACCTTAATAACCTTCAGGTTATTTTCTTCAGGTTATTTACTTTATCAGTGTTCTCCTTTAGCTTTAGCAGATCATTGTCAGATAGTGCAGTTATTTTTGATAAAGCTTCTAGTTAGAGTGGCTCAGGTTATCCTGAGCTATCTCTATAGTTCTGCTGCTATAGGCTTAGACTGCTGGAGGACATAGGGACCCCTTTTTCATCATTCTGCTTCATTCTATCTCTGTTCTCCCACTCTGCAGAATCTGTTAGTTCAATCTCTAACGTTCTGCTCTCTCTGCTTTTTCTCATAGTAGCTTCATCTGGTCTGTTCCTGTTTGGCTGTGACTCCATCCTGGAGAGAAATATCAGCTGTGCTGCTGCCATCAACACCTTTGTTTCTAGATGTTGGAGCTTGGCCTGTTTTCCAGTGTAGTCCTGTTTCTCTGACTGTGACTAACTGGATGTGCTCTCCTCATCCTCTGACATGGGAGCTGGCTCGGAGCTCGTCTGCCTGGCTGTGTGTTTCCTGGACGGGGCCGCCTTTTACAGCTGCTTTTTGGTATCTCTGCTTCTGTCTCCTTGAACCCCAGTGGGCCTCAGCAGATGGCCGCTCACACTGAGCCTGGTTCTGCTGGAGGTTTCTTCCTGTTCAAAGGGAGTTTTTCCTCTCCACTGTTGCTACAAGCATGCTTAGTGTGAGGGATTGCTGAAGAGTCAATGAGTCGATGCAATCAGCTGGTTTTCCTTAGATAGAAAACTTTGAATCAATCTGACTGGATGATCTATTGAATTTTCTCTATAAACTGATGTGATGTAAATTGGCTCTATAGCAATAAACTGAATTGAAATACAGCAATATGTGACTGAGGGGAACAGAAGGCAAAGGAAAAAGCTATTCGTGTGTAAAATTGTTTAATTTATAAAAGTATAAAGTTGATTCATATCTTGAAACTTTGGTCGTTAAGCATCATGTTTTTATCTGCTGTCTCAGTCTTTAGATTTGTGCGTTTGTGTTTGGGAACCACTGTTTGCTAATTTATCGCGGTCCGTGAGGTTCTGGGTCAGATGTGCTCCCACAGCTTTTCTTTCCAAGCTTAATCTCCACAATTCTCTTTGACAATGTGGAATAAAATGATGTTTTTTAATGTAAAAATGTAATAATACCTTTTTGACATGATGGAGTGCGGTGTATAGAATTCAGGCTGCGCTGTGAGGAGTCTGTGGATCATGTCTCAGAGCGTCGAGCCTCCTGCTGAGGGATGTAGAGTGTTTACACTCCAGCCTAATAACTCCATCTGAGGAACTCAGAGGATATGGATGATTACAGAATGGAAACAAACACGAGGCTTTCTTCTGTTTTCATCTCCTCTGACGACTCTTGACTGCTGTCAGAAGGAGCTCCTGTTGCTCTCATCTGAATCCTCACCTTATCAGTCCACAGTCGTCCACAGCAGGCAGCAGAAAACCTGGGCTGTGGGATGTTTGGTTCATGCATCTCATTCCAGAGTCAATCGAAAAGATCAAAATAGAAACACACATGTTAAGTGAGTGGAAATGATTTGACATCATCTAATTATGGGAAAGGATGTCTTCCTCTGTGTGAATACTTCTGCAGGTTTCACTTCATTGTTTGCTGAGCTGGGTGTAGGTGAGATAATGGTGATGTCTGTCTCACTCTTCTCCCTGTTCTCACTGAGAATAAGATAAATGACAGAAGAGCTCAGTTCCTGGAAAAATGAATAATGAATCATCAAAGATTTCTATGCAGCCGGAGCCTCACTGATTCCCACTGATGGCCTAATACAGAAAATACAGGTTTACATGCTCTGATCATCCAGGGTGCAGAGAGGAGAGTCCAGGTGATATACAGTGGGGCAAAAAAGTATTTAGTCAGCCACCAATAGTGCAAGAAAGAGGCCGGTAATTTTCATCATAGATATACCTCAACTATGAGAGACAAAATGAGAAAAAAAAATCCAGAAAATCACATTGTGTGATTTTTAAAGAATTTATTTGCAAAATATGGTGAAAATAAGTATTTGGTCAGTTACAAACAAGCAAGATTTCTGGCTCTCACAGACCTGTAACTTCTTCTGTAAGAGGCTCCTCTGTCATTGACTCGTTACCTTCATTAATGGCACCTGTTTGAACCCATTACCAGTATAAAAGACACCTGTCCACAACCTCAAACAGTCACACTCTAAACTCCACCATGGCCAAAACTAGAGAGCTGTCAAAGGACACCCGAAACAAAATGATAGACCTGCACCAGGCTGGGAAGTCTGAACTTGCAATAGGTAAACAGCTTGGTGTGAAGAAATCAACTGTGGGATCAATTATTAGAAAATGGAAAACATACAAGACCACTGATAATCTTCCTCGATCTGGGGCTCCACGCAAGATCTCACCCCGTGGGGTCAAAATGATCACAAGAAGGGTGAGTAAAAATCCCAGAACCACACGGGGGGACATAGTGAATGACCTGCAGAGAGCTGGGACCAAAGTAACAAAGGCTACCATCAGTAACACACTACGCCGCCAGGGACTCAAATCCTGCAGTGCCAGACGTGTCCCCCTGCTTAAGCCAGTACATGTCAAGGCCCGTCTCAAGTTTGCTAGAGAGCATTTGGATGATCCAGACGATGACTGGGAGAATATCATATGGTTAGATGAAACCAAAATAGAACTTTTTGGAACTTTTGAGTTGAAAGTCCGTGTTGCCCAGCGACAGCCCCAGAACATCACTGCTCTAGAGGAGATCTGCATGGAGGAATGGGCCAAAATACCAGCAACAGTGTGTGAAAACCTTGTGAAGACTTACAGAAAACGTTTGATCTCTGTCATTGCCAACAAAGGGTATATAACAAAGTATTGAGATGAACTTTTGTTATTGACCAAATACCTATTTTCCACCATATTTTGCAAATAAATTTTTTAAAAATCAGACAATCTGATTTTCTGGATATTTTTTTCTCATTTTGTCTCTCATAGTTGAGGTATATCTATGATGAAAATTACCGGCCTCTCTCATCTTTTTAAGTGGGAGAACTTGCACTATTGGTGGCTGACTAAATACTTTTTTGCCCCACTGTATTCAGCGGTGCAGGAGTTTGGTTCACCTTAACGGAATTAATCGAATAATTCCCAGTGCATGCTGGACTCACCGGTCCTGTTCTTGACCTTTAGCGACAGGATTTTTAGGCACAGCCAAGGGCCAAGACCTACAGCATAAAACTGGGGCAGTTCGCAGCCGAATGTGAAGCTGCCGGGCTGAGAATTAGCTCCTCCAAATCTTTTGCAGATGCTCCCTGGATGCTTCCCTCTCAGGTAATCCCAGCACCTCCCATCAGGAGGAGGCCCAGGGAACAACACAGGAAACCTTGGCCTTCTCCCAACAGAGTAAAGGGAAGTCTGGGAGTCTCCACTGAGACTACTGCCCCCACGACCTGGTAGCGAATGAAGCAGAAGATGACGAGTACCAGAAAAATAGTGCAGTCTGTTGACATGAAACCTGTAATGACGAGTGCCGCTGGGGGAGGTGAGGTTTGCAAAATAATTGAAATTAGCTGTTTTTGACAGCGCCCAGGTAGAGAACCAGAATGAACCTTAGGAAGCTTTGAAGCAAGTTTTCCTCCTTCTTTGAAGAGAGCCATTTTTGAAATGGTTTATCTTCTTTAGTCTCCTTTGATTTTCATGTTTTAATCATTGTAAAGCATTAGACTTCACTCCTTCGGGATTCATAAATAACTCAAAACAGCTTTGGGTAAACTTGTTCCTGGTTCTTCCATGGCCTGTTAGATATGTTCTACGCTGGAGAACCAAGGAGTTGAACCATCTTGATCAACCTGTATCCGTAATCTACACAGATTAAATAAATCAATGCACTGTTTTAGGGTTGTGGCGGCTGCTGGTGGTTGTTGGTTTATAGGCAAAGTGGTGAAATCATCAGTCCACCAAAACAGTAAACAATAGTATGTGAAAAACACCTGAGCAAATACTATAACCAGAGAACAAAAACCAAACATGTTTGGACTCTGAAGATTTAAAGTGGCTCCAGAAAATGCAGCCATAAAACAGGAGAACAAGCGGAATCCGAGACTTTCTACTGCTTTGAA